AAGATTTGACACTCACAGGACATATTGAAGGCAAGAGGGACATAGGAAAGCAGTGAGTAACCTACCTAGCGAGCTTGTGTAAATTTCTAGGGCACATAATGAAGAAAGTGGGTTTGATGAATTTGACACTCACAGGACATTTTGAAGGCAAAAGGGACAGAGGAAAGCAGCGTGTAACCTAGCTAAAGAGCTTGTGTAAATAATATGAAATAAAGAATAGGGACTGGGAAGAATAGTTAGCGCTATGAAGGATTCAAAGTTGTGAAGAACCATGATTGCTTACATCTTGAAGTGACTCTGCCCATAGAAAAAGAATACAAAGGTTGGTGAATCCATATTATTGCATTAATTTTATATACAAAACACGAGCAAGACTGAGTACATCTGTTGGTTTTGCAGTGTAACCCGGATATAAGAGAGTTGTTGGGACCGGAGAAGTCGTCTCTTATATCCGGGTTTGGTCTATTTTATATACATTAACACAGGCTCTAATTTGAAACAGTCTTTCTTACCAGAATCTATCCTGCACATTTATAAATCTACATAATTCATCCATGCATTGAATATTTCTGTCACGTCCTGTCTGGTGCTTCTATGTCTATAGAGATTCTGGATAAAATACAACGATGAAACTGCAAGATTATCGGTCCTGACATGGCTTCTCGGCTTCAGTCAATGTCCTATCGCTGTAAGGTAGCTTCATTGTGTCTTTTGTAGATAGTCATTGCAATTGTTCTGATGAACTTTGGTACCTCGACGAATTTAAGTACATTACTAGACTGGTAGCTAGATCTCATCATATTATTTTTGTTATATACCATACCTATGAACACTAATGGGTATGTCCCCACCCTCATGAATACGTTGGACATTCTGTAAGTGGGAGGATATGCTGTCTAAGTTGTCAACCACTAGCAGTGGTTTACCTACTTCACGCCGCTGGTGCGTATTGTATTTAGTTGATGCTATTTAGATTACCATTTCATTTCCAATCTCCTTTTTGGTTATTCCTGATTCAGTAATCTTTTCTAGGTTACAACAATTTTACAGTTGAAATAGCTAGATGTAACCGTAAGTTCTATGCTAACAGTTTCTTCTCTTGCGCTCCTCGCTTGTGGAACTCTCTTTTAGTTTCTCACTTTCCAGTAAAATTTGATGCTTGTCGATCCGTGTAACCTTCTGGAAACCTTTATTCAATCTATATGGACTAGTGTACCCATTCTGTTGACCATGTCTAGGTATATCGTTCTTAATTTAGTATCGCCCACCACATTTCTACTGAGTCCAAGTACGCAACGCTTGAGAGTGAACGCCCAATTACTATGTCAACAAATTCACAAACCAACATAATCTTGAAAAAAAGACATTAACTAAAGGGAGCAAAGAAATGAATTACATGTCAAAATGCATTGTTATTGAAAGATTGATAGCAGAAAGTTTTAAACCTGCCTCCAAAAATTACATTTTATTAAAGCTGCTTTCCAAAAATAGTGGATAAGACACAAGAATAAAAAGATGGTCAATTGCGCGTATAAAGAAAGTTCATATATTTAAATATTACTCAATCTCTTTACATTGTTTGGACTGTTGTTCTCAAATCTATTGCCATATTCACGTCATTTCAGCCATTGTACACTCTGGCCTACTTTAGGTGATGTAGAAGTGTCCATTTGTTTTCATTTTCTCTAAAACTTCATTGTTGCTCAGATGTTCAATCCATGACATGTAAATAATATAAATAATAATTCCTCATCCCAGAAGTTCTTATTTCTTTATCCCCCATTATTTATTATTACCCACACACATCAACCTGTATTTTATGAATGGATTAAAAAAGGTTCCATTCATAGTGATTATAATTTCAAAGACTTAGGAAGGATCTATTTATATCAGGGTTCCTCAAAATGGTCCGTATCGGTTCAGGCAAGATAAAAAAAAAACTTTAGCAGAGCTTGAATGAAAACTTAGTGTTCCAGAGAGCTGTAAACCGTGCCGGATTTACCTATAGCCTTAGCAGGCTGAAGCCTAGGGCCTCAAAATCTAGGGACTACCAGCCAGGGTGTATAATATCTTGACACTGTCAGAGGTATACGCATACTGTCATAATGCGTTGTAGTCTCTAAACAACCCTTCCGTAATTTTACACAGCTGTCATCATCATCGGCTTACCTCAAATTCTTTAATTTAACACTCTTCCATTTTCCTCTACACGTGAGAATGGGGAATTTAGTTGGGGCCTCAAGCGGAATAACCTAGAGCCTCTCTTTATTTAAATCCAGCCCTGGGATGAATTTGAGCCAATGCAGTTTTCACTATTGAAATCTTCCATTGCGACCAATGATTTCTTGATTCCAGGGCATCTTCCCCTTTGCCGAAAAGATTCCAGCATTCACATACATGGCTTTTGGTGTTTACATTCGGGATAATCTGTCACTCGAGCAATGTCAGTTGCTATCTACTCTCCTCATTTTTCTTTTCTTTCTCCTCAATAATAATGTTTCTGTTCCTAATTCCTCTACACCCTGTAACCCGTTGCGTCATAGTGGCTGTACTTAGGGGGATACCGATTTTTTTATGGTGAAGATAAATGAATTTCTATGTTAAATCTGTGTGTTAATTGTAATAACTATAATAATTTACATAATAATAATAATAATAATAATTTACATTATTCGAACTATTGTCCTCATCTTTGTCGCCATATTTTCTTTTTTAAGGACAATAGTCCGAATAAGGTAAATAGTGTACATAATACCTCATCTCAGAAATATAGACAAATAATAATAATAATAATAAATTACCGGTAAAATAATCTTAAAAGCATGTTTGTCTATTTTTACCGGGAAAATAGCCTCTTAAGTTTTCAACCGACAATAGCACTAATTGTTCTATCAATAAACGCTGAATCTTTCCGGTATGGAAACGACTTATTTAACCATTACCATTAGATTTAACCATTGCAGTGTTCACATTTAAAAGAACTGCGTATTAATGGATGAACAAAAAAAGAAAATTAAGCAAAATAGTTATTTTGCAACTATTGAGCCGGTTTTATCAGCTTTTCCAAGTTTGTTTTAGCCTTGAGTATCATTTATTAAATGAAGATAAAAGCACCTTGAACTGAAAACGTCATGATTTGTGCCAAAAACTAACCTGAATGCAACCTAATATTTGTGATCTCCGTGCCCGCAAACCCCATTTTCTTCTTCTCTTCAGGACGTTGGAGATCGTGGCTCTCCACAAAATCCTGTCCTTTGTAGCTCTTAACAAATTTTGTCTTTTTGCTATCTCTCCTAAATCTTGATCTGCGATCGAGCTTGTTAGATAGGATATATTTTCCTCCGTCCCACTTGCTTTCAATATGCCGTGTGTGTGTCGGATTTTCCAAGCCGCCTTACCTCATTATATGCCCTTTTAAATGTCAACTATCTCTTTCGGTTCTTTTTGTTTTCATTTTCTCTAAAACTTCGTCGTTGCTCAAATGTTCAGTCTATAGTACTCTCAGCAATTTTTCTGTACAGCCACTTTTCTTTTGCTTCAAGTTTCTTCTTCATATGTGAGATAATTGCCCAGCATTCACTGCTATATAGGACTGACATTACGTAATAGTTCAGTACTCTTTTCTTTCCTTCTTATGAAATTTTCCTGTTTCTTAATACTTTGATTAGCTTTTGAAAGGCCTCTTTCGCTATCCCAATGCGTCTTCGAATTTCGGTGCCTCACTTTCCGTTCCCTGTTAAAACACTTCCCAGATATTCAAATTATTCTATTTGTTTGATTTTGGTATCTATTTAAAAAATAATCCAAGCTTTAAAGGTAGTCGTTTAAGTTTATAGTTTACTAAGTATTTTCTCGTATAAGCTGTAATCATCATCATTAGTTCCATGACCGGTTTAGCGCTGCTAAACACCTGAACAGTTCCTTCTAGATATCTGGGTTGAAAGCCGGAGAGATGTATTCATTTATGCATAGTGTTTCTTGGGCAAGTAGATGTGGTGGAGCCTAACTCTTTCCAGATTAAACCACAGCCAACCTCCCGAACTGGAAATCTCGCCATGCTCACAGACTCATGGCCGTTGATTTCATCGGAGGAATCCTCTTTGTTGTTGACTTCAGTCGAGGAATCTCTCCGCCCATCGATGTAGTGCCATCACTGTAGTGGATGTGTATTTAGCTATGGTGCCCCCGTCTACCCCCCCCCGGATTGTGCTAAATGGCCGTTGACGCTAGAAGAAGGTTCATCCGAATTTTGACAGGTTTTTTTTTAATCATATCCATCCTCTTCACCAGAAAGAGTTGGGGTGTGGGGGGCCGGTTTAGACGTCGATAAGCTGACCATGCAGCGCAGGTAAGTACTGGATTGCCTAATACTAGTAGCACTCGTAGAAATGTAGGAAAGGACTCTAATTTCTAAAAGGAATCGACCGTTGTCGGAATCATCGATTAAATGCGAACGATCTTTTCCCTTAACTGCATAGTATGTGCTTCGCCAGGTCTATAAACTGTTTTGAATTCAGAGTTTTTCTCTTTCTAGACCAGTTGCCCCTCAAGGCAATAGAACCCTGTCTGTCCTACTATTTACTGATAACTGGGTGGGGGGGTAGAGAGTTGTCTTCATACCTTTCCCAAATAAGTGAATGCAATGAACCCGACTGGAACTCGAACTCAGCAAATCATTACTCTACCGTGCCTCTTTTATTTTATAGAAATGATTAATTTATGGAAATGATTATAGAAGCAAAAGCTGAAAGTTGTCTATTTGTAGGGACAAACATAGTTCAGATCTGAATTAAACTAATTACAAAATCATACCTGAACATAAAATTCCTGACTCCATTCGGGAGGCAATAAAAAAAAATCTACGATTGATATGCGTCTCCTATATTTTGATCTCATTCCTTCTACATTCATCATTTTGCAACTATGCCATCCGTTTCAGTTCAATCCTTAGAGCAACGGACCGAAGCTTGAGAGGTCTCAAGTTCCATTTTAAGAGCAGGATGTCTGTTAAGGTAAATTCTCACCGGATAACAAACAGGACTAATATAACAAACATTATCCCTTTCTCGTGTATCTAGTTTTGTGCTTGTAAAATATGCAATACCCAAGTGGTAACTAGCAGGGCAGTGTTTTTAGTTAACGCGTGGGAGTCACCGCATCTGGTAGACAGCTGGGCCTTGTGGCGAATTTCAACACCTTCGGCATTCTTTCATACCAAATCAGTCGATAAATCAACGATACCCTAGTGGTATAAAATATAATCTGACTGCTCATATTACAACTTCGGCTACCACTACCACCACTGCTACTACTACTACCTCTTACTGTTCCCCTTACCACTACTAATATTGCTACTCTGGCTGCTGCTGTTACGATTATTGCAGCAGCTGCTACCGCAGCAACTGATAACAGTATAAATACTCTAACAGGTGCCGAGGTACGGGGACTGCGTTCGACCCTTAGAGACAAGTCAGGACAATCAGGTTAGCGTCGTGCTTGTTGCTAATAGCAACTTCTTATTTCCATCTCCTCGTCTTTTCCGTTTATTTACTGTTTCTGTAATATTTATTTGCTTAGCCGGTTGCTTTTTTTCTGCTTTCTGTCGGTCGATTCATATCTTCGGGAAAATATATTATTAAATAATCCTCTGAATTCGATGCGGCCATCTTTCAGTGTCTTTGTTTAAGAATTTTGCATTTCTCGTTTTTTATTTTTGTTTTTTTACTAAACATTTGTGTTTTATTTTTGTTTGTACGTTGTTTTTCTTTCCTATCTTCTTTCTTTTTTTTATAGATTTGCTTTTTTCTTTGTTTATTTTTTTAATTTTATTTTCCATAAACGAATTCCCTTTCCTTGTTTTCTTTCTATCTTCTTACATCCCATCAATACTTCTTTCTTTCTTATTGTTACATCCCATCAGTTCTTTCTTTCTTTTTCTTTCTTTCTTTCTTATAGTTACATCCTATCATTACTTTTCTTTCTTTTCTCTCTCTCTCTCTCTTTCCATTTTTCTGATAACTTCTCTTTCTTTTTGTTTCTGTTTTATTATTTTTCTTTTGTTTCTTTTTTCAACTTTTCCTTTTTCTTTTCCATAAATTAATCACTTCATTTTCTTTTATTGCTTCATCTTTTTATTTTTATTGCATCATCCACCACAAGTCTCTTTCTCTCTCTCTCTCTTATTACTTCTCTTTATTTTCGTCTGCATGTTACTATTTTTCGTTCCTTGTTTTATTTTTTCTTACTTTATTTTCCATAAGCTTCCTTATTCTCCCTCTCGTTTTTTTCTTTGTTTTATCATATCACTCTTTCATTCTTCTTTCTTCCTCTCTCTTTTCACATTTTTTTATATCTTTTTAAGTGAGTTTCATCTTTTCCATATAAGTTTGTATGCATCCACTTTCATCTACTTCTTTCTTTTCCGTCAACGTATCAGCTCGTTTCTTTGTTTGACAACTGATTTCAAACTTCTCCTCCTCCCTCAACTTTTCTCTTTTACTCTCTTTCTACCTTTCTTTCTATATCTATCTATCTATTTATCCATCTGCCTAAGGCATCTGCTCTGTCCATCCAACCACACGTCCGCTGCCTACCTTTCTTTCTTTCTTTCTTTCTTTCTTTCACATTTATCTAAGTATAAGTTTATCTACTTTTTGTCGTCCTCATTGCATATGCGTTTGTTTTTTGGCTATCTGTGTGGCCTTTTGCGTGCCTCTGTAACTGCCCGTAAGTCAGCATTTTTCTTTCTTCGGACATTTTTCTTTCTCTTTTCTTTCTCTTTTCTTTCTCTTTTCTTTCTCTTTTCTTTCTCTTTTCTTTCTCTTTTCTTTCTCTTTTCTTTCTCTTTTCTTTCTCTTTTCTTTCTCTTTTCTTTCTCTTTTCTTTCTCTTTTCTTTTCTTTTCTTTTCTTTTCTTTCTCTTTTCTTTCTCTTTTCTTTCTCTTTTCTTTCTCTTTTCTTTCTCTTTTCTTTCTCTTTTCTTTCTCTTTTCTTTCTCTTTTTCGTTCTCTTTTCTTTCTTTTTTTTGTTCTCTTTTCTTTCTTTTTTTGTTCTCTTTTCTTTCTTTTTTTGTTCTCTTTTCTTTCTTTCTTTCTGTTCTCTTTCTCTCTTTCTTTCTGTTCTCTCTCTCTTTCTTTCTGTTCTCTCTCTCTTTCTTTCTCTCTCTCTTTCTTTCTGTTCTCTCTCTCTTTCTTTCTCTCTCTCTTTCTTTCTGTTCTCTCTCTCTTTCTGTTCTCTCTCTCTTTCTTTCTTTCTCTTTCTGTTCTCTCTCTCTTTCTTTCTTTCTCTTTCTGTTCTCTTTAATGCAACCGACTTTCTGTCTACTGTACATTCCCGGCTCTTCTTTTGTCCGTCTGTCTCTAGGTTCGCGCCTGCTTCTTTGTCACTATACACGTAACCACCCTTTTGGATTACCTGCCTAATTACTTCTCTCTATATATCTGTTTAATTTTAGTAACCATCTGTTGGTCCGTCCATCTGTCTATCCATCCAGCTATCTGCTTGTATACGTATTTGGTCATATACACGTTTGCCTTTTAGAGTCCAATCACCATAAATATGACAGCGATTTAATATCCGAGTTTCCCAAAGGATCAAACTGCAAATTCTGATTTGGTCTTCAAATAAGCCCTCTATATAATCTTACTCGTTTTCAGTGCGCTCGCATATTTATAAAATCTCTCTCTTTCTTTCAAAAGGATGGATTAAAAATAATTCCATAAATCCTTTAGAAACATATGTATGTAGTGTGTTGGTGCATAATTATCAGTCGTTTTTTAAAAAATATTTATTATAAAATAACAATTCAACAATAACATTTTTTAAATGATTATTACTCAGCGTATGATTATCGACGCGAATTTTTGTAACCTGAAAAATGTTTTTATTAAAAAACGGAAACAAAACAGCAATTTTTAATAACGAATAACTCGCCTACAAAAACGCCTGATAATTATGCACCAACCCAATTGCACGTGTAAACATTTAGATATAAATAAAAAATATCTGTATGAAGAAAATATAAATAAAGACAAAAAGATAACTTTTCTTTACCAACGCGTTTCGTCCTCTGATGGGCTTTATCAAAAAAAAGATGTAAGGATTTTATTTTGCAACATGTATTTATAAACAGAATTTAAAATAGCGTTAGGTTTCCAAAATTTTTTGAGCGTTCTTAAATTTAAAATTTTGAAAACCTAACGATATTTTTACTTCTGTTCATGAATACATGACGCAAAATAAAATTCTTACAATATATTTACCTTGATAAAGTCCATCAGAGGACGAATAGCGTATTTGCTATGTGAAGATCGTTTATAAAAATTGTATACAGTAGAGTAATGGCTCGGATTGAGGAATCGGAGAGCCGAGTTCGAATTCCAATCGAATTCATTACCTTCACCTATGTGTTAATACCCTTGGGAAAGGTATTAATCCTCTTCTTCTCCCCCCCTCCCGCTATGGGTAAATAGCAGGACAGGCCTTGGGCGGCAACAGGTATACTGCAGAATGAAATGGTAATCTACTGCGGGGAAAAAATCTTCGTTTTCAGTTATGTATCGAAAGATATATGATCGCCTAAGCGTGTATCCCGCATGGCACATAACTGACTGAATTATTATACAAAATCGCTAAAAATGATTATAACTTCTCTATCAATGTCTTTCGTCGTTGATGCGCAATGCGCCTATTCCTCTGTTGGTTTATTAAAGACGTTGACCTCCTGTTTGTCTACGAGTCTGTCTATTGCACTGAATGAAGGGTTTTGATTTGTTTCGCAGTCCGTCAATTTGTGCTTGTTGCTGAATACGGCTGCTTTTTTGTTTACTCTCTTTTCCCCTCACCCTCCCTCTCTTTATCTCCTTACTCCACTTCTCTCGCTTTCTTTCCTCTCTCTTACCGCCCTCTCTTTCACTCCTTCCTCTTCCTCCTCATTATTTCCCTCCCCTCATCCCCTCTCTCTCTCTCTATCCTTCCACTCACCCTCTCCCTATATATATTTCCTCATACCCTATCTCTTACACTCTTTTCTATCGCGTTTCTCTCTCTCTCACTCACTCACTTTTCCCTATTCTTTCACTCTTCCTCTGATGCTCTGTCACTCCTTTTACCTTTTCGCCCTCCTACTCTCATCCGAAGTTCTTCAATACAGCTGCTTTTTTACTCTTTTCTCCTCACCCTCTCTCTCTATCTCCTTACTTCCCTTCATTCTCTTTCTTTCCTCTATCTCACCTTCATCTTTTTCACTCATTCTTCTTCCTCATCTTTATTTCCACTCACCCTCTCTCTCTATCCTTCCACTCACCCTCTCTCTCTATCCTTCCACTCACCCTCTCTCTCTATCCTTTCACTCACCCTCTCTCTCTCTCCTTCCACTCACCCTCTCTCTCTCTCCTTCCACTCACCCTCTCTCTCTCTCTCCTTCCACTCACCCTCTCTCTCTCTCTCCTTCCACTCACCCTCTCTCTCTCTCCTTCCCTCACCCCTCTCTCTCTCTCCTTCCCTCACCCCTCTCTCTCTCTCTCCCTTCCTCACCCCTCTCTCTCTCTCCTTCCCCCTCTCTCTCTCTTTGTCACCCCTTCTCTATCCTTCCACTCACCCTCTCTTTGTCACCTTCTCTCTCTCTTTTTTTCTCTCCTCTCTTCTCTCTCTCTTCTCTCCTCTTCTCTCCTCTCTTCTCTCTTCTCTCCTCTTCTCTCCTCTCTTCTCTCCTCCTCTCTTCTCCTCTCTTCTCTCCTCTCTCCTCTCTCCTCTCTTCTCTCCTCTATTCTCTCCTCTCTTCTCTTCTCTTCTATTCTCTCCTCTTTTCTCTCCTCTCTTCTCTTCTCTTTTCTCTCCTCTCTTCTCTCCTCTTCTCTCTCTCTCTTCTCTCCTCTCTTCTATTCTCTCGTCTCTTCTCTTCTATTCTCTCCTCTTCTCTTCTCTCCTCTCTTCTCTTCTCTTCTCTCTTCTCTTCTCTTCTCTTCTCTCTCTCCTCTCTTCTCTTCTCTCTCTTCTCTTCTCTTCTCTCTTCTCTTCTCTCCTCTCTTTTCTTCTCTCTTCTCTCCTCTCTCCTCTCTTCTCTCTCTCTCCTCTCTCACACACACACACTTTTCCTTATTCTTTCACTCTTCGTCTCCTCCTTTTTATCTTTTCTCCCTCCTACTCTCATCTACTTTTCTCCCTCACTTCTACTCTCCTTTCGCTCCTATCTCTTTCACTTTCATTTCCCTCTCTCACTTTCTTAATATAGCTCCCTTTCGGACCTTCTTTTTATTCTTTGTTTGCTAACCTCTGCTTGTCCATCTGTCTTTTCTATGCACCACTCAATCCACTGGTGTTTGTCCGCTTCTTCCTCCATCTGTCGATCGTATGTGTCGTGTGTTTGTTTTGTTTTGCTTTTTGCTTCCATTTTCTTTCTTTGCTTTGTTACGACCATTCATTTCATTTTTAGTATCTTGATTTTTTTTTTTTTTTTTTTTTTCACCTCGAAAAAAAAATTCCCTAAATCCTTTCAATGATTTTGTTTACTAAATCCTTCCATTTGCTAGGAAAAAAATCCCAAAAGCCCTCGTTTTTTATCAGAAGCTTTCGGATTAAAAGTTCCACACGCGTTATCAGCTAACCAACCTCACCCCTGCTGCCATAAATAAAAAAAACTATCTGACATATCCCCACACTTACACACACATATATATATATATATATATATATATATATATATATATATATATATGTGTGTTTTTTAACTATACTTTTAGTATCATCTCAACAGACCTTTCTGGGATATTGCTCACTCATCAACAAATCACCTACTCCCCAAACTGCGCCTGCCCTTACCCAAGGGTTCTTTTTTTCTTTTCCTTACACACGCACGGGTCTGTAAAAAGAGGTGGGAGAAAGAAAAACTAGGGTAAAAGAAGCGTGACAGGAGAGACAACTAAACACTTGTCGCTGTCCCCTTATATATCACAATCGATAAAAAAAAATAGTATAATGTCAGGGTGGGTGTGTTGAAGCACAGAGAGAAGACTAAAGGGAGACAACCCATACAATTGGATACACACACACATACATATATATATATATATATATATATACACACACACACACATACTCGCGCGCAATTCATTCGTACCCACCCTTATGCATGTAGGGTAAGGAACAGGTGCAAAAACTGATGCCTTTGTCCCAACAAAAAAGGAAAAAGCTATGGATTTACCCCCCCCCTGTTGTCCATACCGGTGTTTCTTTCTTTCTCTCCATTAGGCTCCCTTTTTTTTCATTCCTTTCTGTTCATCTTTATTTTTTCACTTCTCTCTCTTTGTCTCACCGTTTCTTAGTCTTTCCTCCTACTTTTCTTTGTTTCTCTTTTAATTTCTCTTTCTCTTTCTTTCTTACCTTGCTCATTATTGTTTCTTTTTCTCTTTCTTTCGCATCTTGTTCGTTATTGTCTCTCTTTCTTTCTTATTTTGATTATTATTGTCTCACTTTTTCTTTCGCATCTTGCTCATTATTGTTTTTCTTTCTCTTTCTTTCTTACCTTGCTCATTATTGTCTTTCTCTTTCTTTCTCATCTTGTTCATTATTATCTCTTTCTTTCTTTCTCGCTCATTATTGTCTCTCTTTCCATTTCTCATCTTTCTCATTATTGTCTCTCTATCCATTTCTCATCTTTCTCATTATTGTCTCTCTATCCATTTCTCATCTTTCTCATTATTGTCTCTCTATCCATTTCTCATCTTTCTCATTATTGTCTCTCTTTCCATTTCTCATCTTTCTCATTATTGTCTCTCTTTCCATTTCTCATCTTTCTCATTATTGTCTCTCTTTCCATTTCTCATCTTTCTCATTATTGTCTCTCTTTCCATTTCTCATCTTTCTCATTATTGTCTCTCTTTCCATTTCTCATCTTTTCTTATTGTCTCTCTTTCCATTTTCATCTTTCTCATTATTGTCTCTCTTTCCATTTTTCATCTTTCTCATTATTGTCTCTCTTTCCATTTCTCATCTTTCTCATTATTGTCTCTCTTTCCATTTCTCATCTTTCTCATTATTGTCTCTCTTTCCATTTCTCATCTTTCTCATTATTGTCTCTCTTTCCATTTTCTCATCTTTTCATTATTGTCTCTCTTTCCATTTCTCATCTTTCTCATTATTGTCTCTCTTTTCCATTTTCTCATCTTTCTCATTATTGTCTCTCTTTCCATTTCTCATCTTTCTCATTATTGTCTCTCTTTCCATTTCTCATCTTTCTCATTATTGTCTCTCTTTCCATTTCTCATCTTTCTCATTATTGTCTCTCTTTCCATTTCTCATCTTTCTCATTATTGTCTCTCTTTCCATTTCTCATCTTTCTCATTATTGTCTCTCTTTCCATTTCTCATCTTTCTCATTATTTCTTTTCCATTTCTCATCTTTCTCATTATTGTCTCTCTTTCCATTTCTCATCTTTCTCATTATTGTCTCTCTTTCCATTTCTCATCTTTCTCATTATTGTCTCTCTTTCCATTTCTCATCTTTCTCATTATTGTCTCTCTTTCCATTTCTCATCTTTCTCATTATTGTCTCTCTTTCCATTTCTCATCTTTCTCATTATTGTCTCTTTCATTTCTCATCTTTCTCATTATTGTCTCTCTTTCCATTTCTCATCTTTTCATTATTGTCTCTCTTTCCATTTCTCATCTTTCTCATTATTGTCTCTCTTTCCATTTCTCATCTTTCTCATTATTGTCTCTCTTTCCATTTCTCATCTTTCTCATTATTGTCTCTCTTTCCATTTCTCATTTCTCATTATTGTCTCTCTCTTTCATTTCTCATCTTTTATTATTGTCTCTCTTTCCATTTCTCATCTTTCTCATTATTGTCTCTCTTTCCATTTTCATCTTTCTCATTATTGTCTCTCTTTCCATTTCTCATCTTTCTCATTATTGTCTCTCTTTCCATTTTCTCATCTTTCTCATTATTGTCTCTCTTTCCATTTCTCATCTTTCTCATTATTGTCTCTCTTTCCATTTCTCATCTTTCTCATTATTGTCTCTCTTTCCATTTCTCATCTTTCTCATTATCTCTTTCCATTTCTCATCTTTCTCATTATTGTCTCTCTTTCCATTTCTCATCTTTCTCATTATTGTCTCTCTTTCCATTTCTCATCTTTCTCATTATTGTCTCTCTTTCCATTTCTCATCTTTCTCATTATTTCTCTCTTTCCATTTCTCATCTTTTCATTATTTCTCTCTTTCCATTTCTCATCTTTCTCATTATTGTCTCTCTTTCCATTTCTCATCTTTCTCATTATTGTCTCTCTTTCCATTTCTCATCTTTCTCATTATTGTCTCTCTTTCCATTTCTCATCTTTCTCATTATTGTCTCTCTTTCCATTTCTCATCTTTCTCATTATTGTCTCTCTTTCCATTTCTCATCTTTCTCATTATTGTCTCTTTCCATTTCTCATCTTTCTCATTATTGTCTCTCTTTCCATTTCTCATCTTTCTCATTATTGTCTCTCTTTCCATTTCTCATCTTTCTCATTATTGTCTCTCTTTCCATTTCTCATCTTTCTCATTATTTTCCATTTCTCATCTTTCTCATTATTGTCTCTCTTTCCATTTCTCATCTTTTTTCTCATTATTGTCTCTCTTTCCATTTCTCATCTTTCTCATTATTGTCTCTCTTTCCATTTCTCATCTTTCTCATTATTGTCTCTCTTTCCATTTCTCATCTTTCTCATTATTGTCTCTCTTTCCATTTCTCATCTTTCTCATTATTGTCTCTCTTTCCATTTCTCATCTTTCTCATTATTGTCTCTCTTTCCATTTCTCATCTTTCTCATTATTGTCTCTCTTTCCATTTCTCATCTTTCTCATTATTGTCTCTCTTTCCATTTCTCATCTTTCTCATTATTGTCTCTTTCCATTTCTCATCTTTCTCATTATTGTCTCTCTTTCCATTTCTCATCTTTCTCATTATTGTCTCTCTTCATCTTTCCATTATTGTCTCTCTTTCTCATCTTTCTCATTATTGTCTCTCTTTCCATTTCTCATCTTTCTCATTATTGTCTCTTTCCATTTCTCATTCATTATTGTCTCTCTTTCCATTTCTCATCTTTCTCATTATTGTCTCTCTTTCCATTTCTCATCTTTCTCATCTTTCTTTCATTTTCATTTTCATTATTGTCTCTCTTTCCATTTCTCATCTTTCTCATTATTGTCTCTCTTTCCATTTCTCATCTTTTCATTATTGTCTCTCTTTCCATTTTTCTTTCTCATTTTGTCTCTCTTTCCATTTCTCATCTTTTCATTATTGTCTCTCTTTCCATTTCTCATCTTTCTCATTATTGTCTCTCTTTCCATTTCTCATCTTTCTCATTATTGTCTCTCTTTCCATTTCTCATCTTTCTCATTATTGTCTCTCTTTCCATTTCTCATCTTTCTCATTATTGTCTCTCTTTCCATTTCTCATCTTTCTCATTATTGTCTCCCTTTTACTTTTTCAATTTGCTCGTTATTGTCACTCTTATCTTCCTCATCATTTTCTCTTTCTCTTTCTTTCTCATCTTGCTCCTTATTGTCTCTTTCTCTCTCTTTCTTTTTCTTTCTCAGCTTGCTCGTTATTGTCTCTTTTTTTCTTTCTCACTTGCTTATTACTGTCTCCCTTTTTCTTTCTAAATGTGCTCGTTATTTTCTCTCTCTCATCTTGCTCATTATTTTCTTTCTCATCTATCTCATTATTGCTTCTTTTTCTCTCTGCTTCTGTACTGCATTCCTTTTTGTTCTTCCTGGCTTTTCTTTATTTGATGTGAACGCAAAGACACGCTCTCAGTCACACGTAAACAAAGATCTACACACACACACACACACACACACACACACACTCGCACTCGCACACACAAAAGATGCCCACACCTGCTGCAAGTGTCCGCTTTATTTTTCGAGATTTATATGTTCCTTGTCTTGCTTTATTTTCTACACCTCAATCTAATCACTTTTGGTATGGCACGCACGCACGCTCCCTCCCTTTCTTTCTTTCTTTCTTCTTTCTTCTTTTTCTTCTTTCTTCTTTCTTTCTTTCTTTCTTCTTTCTTTCTTTCTTCTTTCTTTCTTTCTTCTTTTTTTCTTTCTTCTTTTTTTCTTTCTTCTTTTTTTTCTTTCTTCTTTTTTTTCTTTCTTCTTTTTTTTCTTTCTTTTTTTTTTCTTTCTTTATTCTTTCTTTCTTTATTCTTTCTTTCTTTATTCTTTCTTTCTTTATTCTTTCTTTCTTTATTCTTTCTTTCTTTATTCTTTCTTTCTTTATTCTTTCTTTCTTTATTCTTTCTTTCTTTATTCTTTCTTTCTTTATTCTTTCTTTCTTTCTTTCTTTATTCATTCTTTCTTTATTCATTCTTTCTTTATTCTTTCTTTTCTTTTTTTATTCTTTCTTTCTTATTCTTTCTTTCTTCTTTATTCTTTCTTTCTTTTATTCTTTCTTTTCTTTATTCTTTCTTTCTTTATTCTTTCTTTCTTTATTCTTTCTTTCTTTATTCTTTCTTTCTTTCTTTCTTTATTCTTTCTTTCTTTCTTTATTCTTTCTTTCTTTCTTTATTCTTTCTTTCTTTCTTTATTCTTTCTTTCTTTCTTTATTCTTTCTTTCTTTCTTTTCTGCCTTAGTACAAAATACTCGTGTATATGCTTTATACACGTGTACTTTTACATACGTACTGACTCAAACAAAACCACGCACGTGCGATTAAGAATAGTTACAAGCATACATACGAATGCACTCACGCGTAAAGTCAGTTATCAACGTGTTTGAATATTAATAATAATAATCATCAAAAGAAGAATATTAATTACAATAGAGTGAGTTATATATACCTCCTGGATATCACAGATTTTATAGCAGCTGGTTTAAACGTAAGATCGACCTTCCCTCCTTGAAAATCAGCATTTGTAATCCTGCCTTTCACTTCGACACTAACATCGGCCACTGGCACCAGGAAGAAATAAATGAACCTTATCTATTCCCCCCCCCATAAAGTTAAGCCTAGCACAACGCCACATCGATGTAGCACCTCATGAAGATTAAACTTCCTACACTAACAAGTTAGTCTGCAAGACTAGCATGCTTATCATTTCGCTGTCGCCATATTTTTCTTTTTAAGAATCTCTTGTCCTTTTATGACGTCGGTGGTCATGACTCTCCACAGAATCCTTTTCTTTATTATCTATGAAATGCCATGCCTTCTTGGGGAAGATAGTGGGGTAGATTTCCGTTGCCTTCTCCAGGGTTTTGGAATTCAAGCTTTTCACATTCTCTTAGACTGGTTGCCACTCAAGGCAAAGATTCAATCTACCCTACTCTTTAACCCATAATTATGAAATAGGTAAAAGAGTTAGACTCATTCTTTTTCCAACGGCATTTGTGTGCAACAGATTAAGTCGGAATTTGAATTCGGCGCGCCAATTACACTTTCTGCGTTGATAACCGCTTTAGTTTCCTTTCATTCACCATACGGTCAGTTTTAGACCCACTGGAGTGTGTAATCGATTTCTACTTTTTTTTCTCTGATTAGGTCATTTCCAGTGGCGTGCAATAATATGAATCCATTTTCGGGGTGTATGATGAAATTTGTGTGACTTTGAAAAATATCGCGTCATCCTTGATTGCATCAGATTTTCATCACGCCTAAAAACTATTGTCTCGACTGTCGATTAGTTGTCCTACGGTCATTGTCTGCGATGGCCGTTACTCCAAGGAAGCGTACAAAAAATTGTAACGCTACACGAAGACAATGGCAAGCCTTACCAGTGAGCAAATCAAAGTACTATCGACTGCTTCGGAAATTCTCTTGATTTAAATCCAATCGAGAATCTGTGCTCAATCTGCCAGGAAAGACTTCGTGGAATGGACATACGAAGTACTAACATGTGAACTGGGTCATGTTTCATTGGAAAAATACGAAAAAGAAATAATAATGGCATTATTCGTTTTGTTTTAATTAATTTGCACAAGGTGTAGTAAGAAGCGTTTTCGTGTTGCTGCAGCTGTAACAGGAAATCCGGTTCGAGGCTTAGAGGCGCGCATGGGATTTGATGAAATGGACATCACACCTATGCAAATGAATCAACACCAGCCGCATACTATATAAGCGGCTAAATTGCTTGTTAGGGACGAGTTGTAATTCTGTAGACAACGCCCGTGGTGTCTAGTAGAAAGGGAAAGCGGTACAGGTTACATAAGCAGAATACCCTATACTAAACACGAGCTATTTCAGCCCTTAAGATAGACGCCGGTTTCAATCTGAAGCTGATTCCCCTGTTTGACGGTGCTGGATCGGTGGTCGAATGGATGGAAATAGCGGAACTTGTCTGCAGACTGTACGGCGTGAAGCGACTGGAACACGTCATTCCCTTGAGACTGACGTGGGCGGGTGAGTTTGCCGTCTACCAGCAATTGAGAGACGAGGAGAAGGTGGATGCAGAGAAAATAAAGACTGACTTATATACGGCGTATTCGAAATATATGTGCAATTCATAGCGCACCGGATCTGACGTTTATCTGGCAGATCTACAGAAGCTCGCAGTTTTGTTTAGTGCGGTGAGCTACCGTACACTAGGGTGCGAATTTGTGAATGGACTACCAGCCCAGGTCAAACAACTGCTTCAAGAAACTGGCACGAATAGCGAACCATCTACAAAGATGAGGACAATAGTCCGAATAATGTAAATAGTGTTGATATAGTAAATAGTCATGATATAGTATATGAAAATATTTCCTTATATATATATATAAAATTCCAAGAGGATAGAATCCAGGTAGAACTCAATGTCCAGGACAGAGTAAGGATATAATAAAAAGGCTTAAAGACTAATATACCATGGTCATAATTTGAATTTGTAGGTCTGATCAATTGGATCGTATTTGCGATTCCAATGGAATAAATTATGACCATGGAATATTTAGTATTTAACCTTTTAATATATATATATATATATATATATATATATATATATATATATATATATATATATATATATAATGAGAGAGATTACTATATCGTTTATTTTATTTTTGCAATAAAATCGTGGAAGATAAAGTGCAGAACTACTTCACACAAGGCAGGCTTTTACCTTTTAATTTCCTTGTAACGTGATGTCCGGTGATTTATAAACATCGGTGAGACATGGGAAACTCTAGTTACATTGACGGAGGGATAGACTGATCAAGCTATTAAACGTTTTGAATCTTTGGGGCAGCCCTTTGTATACTAACTCGTTTTTAGACAGAAACACACACGCATACGAGCTCGCGGACACGTGCAGACACACACAAAGGGAAATGTCAACACTAAAATAATATGTAAATGTCGTCACAAAAATGTATGTCTGTATGCGCGCGCAAGTGCATGAACTGTTCAAATGAAAGCGCGTGTTAATGAAATTTGATATCTGAATGGTTGATAACTATTTTGAATGTTATTTGAAACCAAAAAAAGAAAAAAAAACATTTTTTTCTCTGCTGGACTCATGGGATTGAATCCCTTCAAAATTACTAATTACGCTTTCCTTGCTTTCTTATTTATTTTATTTATTTACTTATTTTTTTTTTATTAATTTCACCCCAAGCAAAGCAATAAAGCCTCTAAGACTCACGGAGCGTTACTCAGTGTGAAAATTTAAGAAATTTGAAAAGACATTAAACAAAAATCAGCAATATTATTGGTCCTGACCTGGCATCTCGGCTTCAGTCACTTTCCCACCGCCGCAAAGTTGCTTCATTGCACTTTTTCTATGAACACTTTTATGGTAATTGTTTGTTCGAACCCTTCGCCATATTGCTTAGACTTTATGAATTTAAACGCAGTACTAGATTGGCAACAAGGTTTCATCAGTTTAGAGTTGAGCTGGCTAGATGTAACCGCTAGTTCTATGATAAGTTTCTTTTGTCTCACTTCCGGCTTGTGGAATTCTTCCGGTTCCATGCTTTACAGACAACTTGAATCTTGAAAAATTTAAACGCAATGTCAATCGTTATTTACTGTCTTCTTCATTACTCTTCTTTTGTTCTGTCTCCTTAATAATGTTTCTCTTTTTTTTTTCTTATTGTTTTCACACTCCGTAACCCCTTGTCTTAGTGGCTTTACTACCTTGCATGGGGTGGATTCGATTAAAAAAAAAGTGGGGAGAGAGAACAATAAAAGAACAGGAATTAAGATAGAAGATAACGATTGATATTGCATTTAATATTTTTGAAGATCAAAGTTGACAGGAAAGCAAGAAGCTGGAAGAGAGTTCCACAAGCAAGAGGTGTGATAGAAGAATCTGTTAGCATAGAAATTACGGTTACCTCTAGCCATTTCACCTCTAAAATGACGTCACCTAGTTTCTAATAATACACTGTTATTATTATTAATATAAATTAAAAATTTCGACCATTATGCTCTCTAGTCGTTTGTATTTGGTACAGAATTTCAAACGGAAACCTTTCCTTAAGAGTAAACGATACTTATTCTGCTGTACGCTTCAGGCAATTCTGTTGTTTCTTCTTAGGCTTTTCAGGATTGTTCCTAGTGTTCCGATAACGACTGACACGACTTTCATCATTATTACTAATTTCGTTGTTTACAAATTGTAACCGGTTATTTCCAATTGGTATTAAATTGCGTCAAGTCTCCTTTGTTATTATAATAATAATAATAATAATAATAATTATAATAATTATAATTATTATTATTATTATTAATACTGACTGAAAGAAAAAACCTCCTAATGGGCGAGATTTTTAACGTAATTCTCGCGAAAGGCTTAAATGGATCCCTCATGACTGGTACTCTTAAATACAACAACACTATTTTTTTTTTTAATTTTGATGTTTCGGTGACCGAGAAAAGTCATGAGAAAAGAAAAGGTAATTTCTCTGGTAACTAGTTAGAAAATTTTCAGCTAAAATATCTACCCAGTCAAAAGTGAAGCAAATTCAAAACGTCAAAAAGAAAAAATATGCGACCTCCGGCAGGATTCGAACCTGCGTTTAAGTAATGAAATATGTCGGATTAATAAATGAAAAATCCATTCCTAAAATTGTTTTGTTTACGTCAGGATACGAAACCGAAAAGAGATGTATATTTTGAGAATCAGAAAAATCCGTGTTTAAACGTGTTTATTTGGGATTTTGCTTGGCCAGCAGGTTTTCTGTAACCACGAGATCAAAACACTGCATAGGTAATGACGGTTTCTCCTAGGTGAACGCAGGTTCGAATCCTGCCGGAGAGCGCATATTTTTCTAATATGATTTCTCGAATATTCAGACCGGTAGATGATAATAAATAAATATACTGTTTAATAAATAAATAGGGTATCTACTCAAATATGAATATCCATCAAAAATAGCGCTTAAGTAATAAAAAGGAAAGAGTACTGAACTGCTTTATAATATCAATCTTCCTATATGGCATTGAATGCTGAACAATTTCCTCAAATATAAAGAAGAGAATTGAGGCAACAGAGATTCGGTTCTACAAAAGAATGCTGAGAATACCATGGATTGAACATGTGAGTAAGGGGGAAGTTTTAGAGAAAATTGAAACAAAAAAGGACACCTACTCTTAATAAAAAAAACAACTGAAATTTCTAGGATACATAATAAGGGAAGAAAGCTTGGATAATTCGGACACACACAGAACATAATGAAGTCAAGAGGAACAGAGGAAAAAGTACTTAATGACCTCATGTAAAAGATGACAGGACAGGAATTTGGGAAATGTAGTAAAGGTGGCAGGTTACGAAGGATAGGACGTTATGGAGAACTATGATCACTCACATTTTGAAGGATCGCGTCATATAAAAGAAGAATTTTCGATTTTGACCACTACTCGAGTTAAATTTTCGAATATTTTTCAGTTTACGAATAGCGAAGTTGTTTAAATGGCTTCTTTTTGTTTTACGCCTAATAAATTGAAAATACTTTCCATGTAAGTAAACTAGTAGAATTTTAGAATACAAGATAAAATATTTATGCATTTAGTACCACTTTTTGTAGGTGACATTATAGAATAATGAGTTGCGGCTCTCAATGAGAAATCGAAGAGAAACGGGAAGACTCGCCAACTGTTGTCCTTGTTTGACAAAAAAGTTTCGCACATCGAGAAATCAAACAGCGATCGGATTTTTACTAACAATACCATCTACACAAGCATTCATATTTTTACTAATGATACCATCTACACAAGCAGTCACACCAGCCACAAGTTGGTGAGTCTTCCCCGTTTCTCTTTATTTCTCGCACCGCTGATGAAGAACGCAAGCGTGCCCGAAAATTCCGGACTTAAAACCCTTATTTCTGTGCTTCATTTTTGTCTTGAGGTTAATAATTAATATTTAATAAATATTCTTCGTACTGATCGCATTGATACCCTTTTTTTATTAACCAATCTATTTTATACACACACACACACATATATATATATATATATATATATATATATATATATATAATCCTAAGGGCCAGGCAAACCTACCTTGCTTTCACCTAAACGGATTTTCTGTACCCTGAAAATCTGTTTTAGGTGAAACAAATAAGTTTGCTTGGCTCCTAGGATTATCTTAGGTCTTTTTCTACTTAGTGTATTGAGAACTTTACCTAGTTGTCTTTTACTCGTTTTAGGGTTTGTTTTTTCTTTGGACTTGGAGCTTAAACACTGGACGATTGTTTTCACCTTGGTTTAATGTTCTTGGTTCTTTCTTTCTTTTTTTTTTTTTTTTTTTTTTTTTTTTTATTCCCCATCTTTTCTCGGATAGCGATTTGTTCTACTGCAAGTTGAGCTATTCTCGGTTTTTCCATCCGAGTACCAGCATTTATATATATATATATATATATATATATATATATATATTGTGTGTCTTATGTTCACAGTTTTCTGCCCATTTTGTTGTTATTATACTCTATTATGCCCTCTTTTTATCTTTGTGGCACTTCCTTCATATCCTTTCACAACATAAGTAAATAACGACCCGCAGTTGTATAAAACATACATCAGCACCTGTTCTTCGAGTACACGCATACTCAGTCTCCTCCTCTCTCTCTCTCTCACACACACACACACACACACACACACACACACACACACACACACACACACACACACTTGACCATGAGTTCTTTACGTATAGAAGCCCAATCCTTTATTTCTTTTCTACGTCAAAATATTTATTTTCAACTCAGTTTCCACGACGTGTGCCTTACAAAACCCAATACATCCACCCCACCTTTCTTCTCTCCCTGCTTTTCATTCGCTTGCTTCCTCCCTTCCCTGGCCTTTCCATTTAGTCTTCATTCTGCCGTCCCTATTTTTTTTTTTGTCCCTCGTTTCTTTTTCTCTTTGTTAATTTATATATCGTCAAAAAATGTAATGCTATTAAAGGTTTCATTCGAATACTGAACTTGCAGTTTCATTACTTTTCAAGCATTATGTAATTTTCCTATTTGCATCACACATCCCCCCCGCACAATCTGCCCATGCGTACTCGCATTCCGTTCCGCCACACGTATTCGCTGATTTATCCTAGGCCCTTCATAAGTGAATTGGATTATTTCAGAAATTAAAATGTAAGCATAGCTAAAATTAAGCTTAAATTTTAGAAATTAAAATTAAACTTGGCCGTTAGTCCACAAAACGGAATCATTTATGCGCAGAAGGTTTTATATGTATGTAAAGTCAATGACCGTAGTGGAGTTAGAAACTAATATTTGTGGTTAGGTATCGTTTCTTTCTTTCTTTCTTTCTTTTTTTCTTTTTTTTAATACCATATTGCTTAAGGTGTAGTTCTCCGCAGATTCCTTTTCTTTATAATCTTTTAAATTGCAAGGTCTTCTTGGCAAAGATAGCGGAGTGCTTTACCCGTTGCTTTCTCCAGTACTGAGTTGAGTTGTAATAAACTGGCTGCCATTCAGTCTATCTTTCTATTTAACCGGAGGTGGAAGGAGATGATTCTTGCCTTTTCCGAGATCCATAGTACGAAAGTGAATGCAAAAAAATGAAACTGGATCTTGAACTCGACTCGCCGATTCCTACCTATCTTTAAAACTGTCATTTGAAACGATAAAGAAAACATCTAGTTTCATTAGCATATATTATGCCTGCGTTAGAGCAATGATTAATGAGCTGATCTTGCAAACTATTTGTGAGTTCGATCCACATTAATTATTATTATTATTGTGATTTGGGGCTAGGCACGCTCAGGCTTATTATTTGAACATGAACATCCAGTAAAAATAACGGAGGAATTAATAAAAATGTCGGATGAAAATTAATTAAATTAATTCTTTAGAAACTGCGGATACGACAGTGAACAGAGATTGGCTTCCGTGTATAACTGAAAGAAGAGGTGTTCATTTTCGAAGAGACAAATCGGACCGTGCTGAGCTGTGATGACTTCTGTGGTCGAGGCAGCGAAAGCACACCGAATCAAATGGCGGTTTCTCCTACAAAAAAGTGGGTGAACGTTTGGATCCTGCCATAAGCATATTTTCTTTAAGTTTTTTTTCTTGAGTACGAAGGCTGATAATCATATTACATAATATTTCAAACACGGGTATCCACTAAAAATAACGTTTGAAGTAATATATATATATATAATTACTTCAAACATTATACACACACGCATATATATATATATATATATATATATATATATATATATATATATATATATATATATATATATACATATATATATACATACACACGCATATATATATATATATATATATATATATATATATATATATATATATATATATATATATTAGTAAAAGTAATAATTCCGTTGGTATATAAACCAAGTGGATCTTAGTAATATAAAATATTAAAACGGATCCAAAAAAGAGCTCAATGTATTTATTATTAAAGAGCAAATAATTAGTAGACAATAAAATCCCAAATTACCTCAGATGGTGAATAGGCTTATTTCAACCGAAGAAATCCGTCAGTCTTATTCAACCCTGATATACTGACGAAGTTTTTCGTCGGTTGAAATAAGGCCTAGTCCCCGTCTGATGTAATTTGGAATTTTATTGTGTAATATATATATATAATTAAAAGTTAATAATGATTTACTGATACACGCTCTACTGTTTAACCCATAGCTGGGGGAGAAGATGTGGATTCATACTTTTTCCAATGGTATTTGCGCGTAAGTAAATATGACGAATTCGACTTGAATTCGCTTCTCCGACTTCTAACACCGAAACGTTATCCATTACATCACCCGCACATCCAAGCTGACAACACATGTTATTCTCAAGCGGTAACCTATCTAGTTACTGACCAAGCTCTGCATTGCTTAACTTCGGTGATCAGACGTGAAACTATGTTTCAACTTAATATGGTCGTAAGCTTGTTATTTACTGTTAAGGTTTGTTTTGTTTTTTTTTGTTTTTTTATTTATTTCTTATTGAGTATACACGAAGCATGTTGAGACAATTTCGTAATACTAGTAGTATTATTAAATGTATTTCGTGTTATAGTTTTCGGTGCGTAAATTGGAAATCGGCGAGACGATTCAATTTCTAGCCAAGGCTGTCCGTGTTCACTTCGCGCCAATGCCTTCGGGAAATAAATCCATCTCCTCTCCATCCTAACTACTGCTATGAGGAAAAGAGTAGGGCAGACAATGCCTTTTAGACTTGATAGATCAGACAGGTTATGAAAAAGGGCAACTCTGAACTTGTATGGAGCAGATGTGCTTCTTCGTCATACCATATTAACATTCATTGCTGCAGCTGTTTTAGTTCTTATGGTTTCCCAATGATCTTATAGTGACTTACAGGACATGCGTATATATATATATATATATATATATATATATATATATATATATATATATATATATATATATAGAGAGAGAGAGAAAGTGAAGCCGCAATAGTTTTGGTTATAATGTGAATTTTTAAATTATATATTATACTTTATTTTCCATATTTTTGCTAAACGTGTTTCCGGTCTCGTGACTTTCATCAGGCAAAGAATGGTTATTTCCACATATTAT